GAACGGTGCTGTGAACCAAACTGTTCGTGAACAGAAGCGTTTGTGAACCAAGGTATTACTGTACATACTAAGAACATTAATATATCTGTTAGTGCACCTGTTAATCGATCTCCCAGACTTGGTAGCCAATGTAAAATGTATTGTTATTACTATAAATAGAAGTGTTCATGTACTGGCTTGTATCCTAGTCTTGAGCCTAAGTATAAAGGTCAAAAGTATCTGTAGATCAGAAAAAAAATTACTGGATGTTCATACTAGTTTTATATCATTCCTAGAATATTTTAGTTCTTTTAGTCTGTGTGCATTGTGGCAATGATTATTAAATAATGTTCATTATTAACATTCTATGACTGATTGGTGTTTATTATCTAAAACTTAAAACAACTTGAAAATGTGCCTATGCCCAATACATTTCTCATATTGAAGAGTATATCTTATCACTGTTGTATCCAGTATCAGCATTTCTTCATAAAAAGCTTATTAAAATGAAGTTACCTACAAAGAAAAACCACTAATGTCTTTAAAACTACTGAAGAGTAATATAAAACTAAGGATTCCGCTATGTGTTTTCTGTAACTAGTGCTTCAAGCCATCAGAACAGATATTAAAATTAAATGTACTAATTTAAATTAATATAAAATTAATTCACTTTGACTTGAATTTAGAGTTGCCTTGTATGGGTAGAATGGTGCTTCCACTTGTGCAAGGTAAAATATTACTACTGCAGAATCACATCCAACTCTAGTCTAAAGAGTCTTACAACCCCCCAAGAGCAGCATTGAAATGGGGTAGGAGGTGAGTTGGTTGCTGTGAGAAGACTGGAGCCCCATTAAATGGGTGTAGTTGGACTTTTTTGGACCTAAGCCTATAACTGTCCCTGTATGCTAAACCTGAGTTTAATTAATGCTTTTGGACGTGTCTTTAGCATGTGCCTTTTTGCGTACATAATTTGCATACATAACTTTGCTGTTGATTAGTGCTTGTATCCCTACTTGCGATAATAGGAAAAGCTCATTACTCTGTTACTTAGTTTGCCTGGAGTGCTCCAAGGTTAGGCAGTAAGCAGCCCTTCTCTGTTTCAAAATGCTCTTGATCTATAGGAGCCTTCATAATTTCAGGGTGCTGCGTTCCCATTTATTCTACTTGCTTAAGAATGCTTTCTTCCAAAGAGAATTGCCTGACTCCTCTTTTGTAATCTTTTTGAAACTGGGCAGGTCTCTCAGAGGTTTTTGGTTCTTGCAATTTCACGTTGTACCTTTTAATTGTTACATTCTTGTGAGACCTTACTGTGATACCTGTTATTTCAGCATTTGCTGGTTTTAAGTGCTTTATTTATTCAGTCACTTTTGATTGAATTGGCATGGATTCATATTATATTTGAATCTTATTATATACTATCCTTGAAGCAGTAATTTAAAGCAGGGTTCCTCAATCTCAGCAACTTTAAGATGGGTGGACTTCAACTCCCAGAATTCCCCAGCCAGGGGGAATCC